TTATGAGTGATCGAAAAAACTAGACTTTTCCTGCCTTTCCCATGCAGAAAAGACTGCATTTTCAGTCTCAATATGGTCTCGAGATCAAATCTAAAGTTATTCGAACAGTATTTGTGCGGGAAGAGGTGAACAGTTTTCCCCTCAGTTACAAAATCCTAGCCCTATCGAGCACACCGCAAACAGGTGATTCCAGGCAATATAGGCCTCTTCCTAAATGTATTTTCGTTATGGCGATAGGCAACCGTGCGTTCGCATTTAATTCCAAGAGTTTTGACAACTATTTGGTAAGTTGTGAGGCTTGTATCGTCTGAACAGTCGTAAGAATGGTACAACTCTCATCTTTATAGCTCGAATTCAGCTGTGGATGGTACCGAGAACTGGGTGAGGTCGATGCCACACTTCGTCTTGGATGCGGTACTCTTTTGGTAGGCTGAGCATTTCACTGTAAAAGCCCATTTTATTTTCAGTTGCTCATTAGGAGAGTGGTTATGAATTCTCGTAGTAACACACTACATATTCCGGTATGGCTACTAATTGTGCTCTAATCGTCCTTATAGCCTCTTTGCCGACGGTACAGAAACTGAACGACTTGACTGTTGCATTGACGGTTCATTTCGTAATGTAGCCCAAACGACTGTTGTCCTCTTCATTTTGGGTGGTAGTTTTGGCCCACACCTGATCCGCTCATCACCACTATCAGCCCAGGAAGAAGAGGCTCAAAGACGAAGTCGCCAGGACACAACCAAATATTGAAGACAAGTGCTGATGTTGCAATCAGAACGTAACTAGGATCAAAGCTGTAGGTGAAAAAGGAAATATAATTGAGTATTTCTCCCATAATTTACTTGCATTTAACCTTGCCTCCAAAAGGGTATTCTCATCCCTGCCGACTAAACTGCAGTTTCAACATCGCCCGGGTCCCATCAACACTACTAACGGGACTCGAACCAGGTGAGTGCGACGTCACCACTACATCACATTGCTACGACGTGAATTTCAAGAAAGCCCAAGCCTCTGGCATATCACATTTTGCTTTAGCATTGTCGATGCAAGTTTGTTTTTGCTAGTACAGTCCTTGTTAAAGATTAATCAGGTGGTTTCGAAGATTTATTAATTTGAAGACAGGTTCAAGTAAAATGGCAAATACAGATTTGCGCTATTGACACTCACATTACACACTACGACATGGTACAGGCTTGACCAGTCTTCAAATTCACCTCTGCCTTGTGACGGTGTGATGTTGTGGCAAAATTTCACCAATGTACGTCGCACTAACCGGGTTCGATTCCTGCTGGTTGTGTTGATGCGGCTCCGGAAAATTTTTATATGCAGTGCATCCCGAATGAGAATACCATTTTTGGAAGCAAGGCTAAGCGAAATTCAATGACATCGTAAAGCCTACTTATATCATTTTGGAAACCTTCAACATTAACTTCTTCACCTCGTACCGCCTATCATAAATACCACTCTTATTCAGGATCTGCTGTGAGTTTCTAATTTTTTCAATTCTGGCGACATTAATTTAATTAATCTTACTCCTGTAACACCTGTAAATTATCGTCACATGCCCTTACCTTAATAGCATTAATTGGTGGCTGCGAATGTCATTGAATTTTTTATTGAATTTGCAAAATTGTACTAACGGAATTCGTAACTTGGCCTAACGTAATCCGAAAAAAGTTTGCCTTGTAATCTTTTGTCTATTTTTATTGAGATCGATTCGCGAAGATTTTCTATCCGGCATTCAATAATAGGACAGCCTCAAAATATTATCCAGAACCAAGCACTTCTCCAAGTCAATGTAGGCACCAAGGCGAGT